TACCCCTTCGGATCCCTACTTTTGTATCTTTGGGGTAAATACCCATACACTGGGTAACTCTTAAAATGTTTTGGCATCTGCTCTTCCTTTTGATCTGTAGAGCAGTCACATAAATAGGTTTTCATCCCTTCTCTGAGTGGTTCCTGAATCCAGCCTTCCCAGAAGACTAGGACTATTAAGTTATATTGTCTTGGACTGTTTCATGTTCTTCTTGACTCCTCTATTCTAGACTGGATAGAGTTAAAGACATACTGATGAACTTCGCATTTTTCTGATTTGGCTTGGTCCCTGAAGACCTCCAAACTCCATTCCTTTTGGGAGTTGAAGACTGAGTGTAAGAGAAACAATGGCAGCTCTAGAGAGGATGTGAGTAATGAGCACTGAATCTTATTTTGGGGTGCTGTACCTCTCTTTGCTCAGCCCATATTACTACTGACCTGGCTGATTCTCCATGTCCTCCCCTGCTTGTCCCTCACTGGAAATTTTGTTTGAGCATTTTCCCAAAGCCAAACCTGTTGGTTTAATTCCTAGATCACCACCATAATTTCTGCCCTCAATGTGGTAAGGCTGGGTGATTGATAAATTTGCAACAGACACCCTTATGAAACAGTCTACGGACGCCCTATATCTTGTTCTTATAAGCATCTCTAACTGGGGCTGACCCAGCAGGGTGGGCTGGTGTTGGTATCAACAGTGTTTCTGCTTTTCTAATTCTCCAGTGGGTAACTCTTCATCTCTTTTAGGCAAACATCAGTATCTTGGTCTGTGTGTGTCCAGTGATAGCACTCCTGGTCTCTCCTTGCCATTCATCTACATTAAAATGGAGTAAATCTGTAAGTGGCCCAATATGTTACTTTGCATTTCCCAAAGAATGCAGTTTACATTTCTCATGATGAGCATTTTAAGTGCCAGTACCTGGCCATCAGAAAAGATGGTTTTGGGAAGGAATGGGGAGGCTTCCTAATACCTTTAAAGTTCTGCCATGGGGAGGATGGTCTCAGCAGATCTACCCTGATTCCACTCTGTGGTTAAATGCCACTGGTGAGTTTGCATGTGATCTCTCCCACAGAAATAGCCTTGGCTTCCATAATAAACAGTATCTTTAAACCTCAACTGCAATTTTCTCACATCTGGTGACCAGAAGCCTTACCACGGCGTCTGCCACAATTACATGGGCAGGTATAAAACCTTTTTGTTTGTTAGGATTTGATTTGCTCATCATGTTTATTGAAGGGTCATTGACTAGAGACAATGGCATTGCTTATGTAAAGGTAAAGATTCACAGCACACAGTAAGTAGAATAAATAAAAAGCAACTGCCTTCCAGAATTCCTGGGAAATGACTTGAAACTTGGCTCTTTTCTCAATAAACCCAAATCCTCTCAGCTATTATAATCTAATGACCATGCAGCTATGCAGCAATCATGGTTATTTCTACTCAAGATGTAGGAGTAGTCCTGTTTCCTAAACTCTACACTCCACTTTTGAAGATACAGGGACGTTTACCTCTGGGTCATTTTGCTCTGAGGTTCAAGCTGCCGTAATGGTTTAGGGATCCCCATGGACGTTTTTTGCCAATCTGCAACGCAGCATTCCTTTCCTATTCTTTAAAAAAGTGCCATAGTCTAGATTTTTCTCTTTTGAAGCCTGGAGCATAGAAGAAGGAGGGAAACAGAAAAGCTAATGAATCCAGCTATTTGCTTTATGTTATTTGATCTGATCCGATAGGGCTTCAATCAGTTTGGTACTGATTTTAAACCAGCACATCCATCCCATATCTCTCTAAAGGTAGAGATTCAGGCAGGAGGGCAGAGAGTTGTGGATTGTGAATGTGGTTAAGGATAGCAGTGCCTTCAAAGCATTATGCTCTGGGAGGCCACACATTTACTCCAAATCTGCTGTCTTTCATGGAAGCATATTTGAAGCTCCACATTGGAAATGTCTTTCAGAACCACCCAAGAAAATGTACACTATTATTTTACAGTCACAATGTGTTTCTGACCCATTAAAGACACTACTAAGTGTGATTGTTTATCCCACTCTCTAGGCTTGGTTCCAAATTATATCTGGCTGGTTTCAAAAATAAACACACCCTCAGAAGATGAAGATTTGCCTTTAATGAGGATAACCAAAAGAAAGTGTCCCAGACTGTGAGGTCAACTTTGTAGAAGGGGTGATCGGAGTGGTAGCTGTAGAGGAGGAATTAGTACATAGCTTCCAAAAGGAACTGCTTTAAGGAGTGTCTGTCCTGTTTTGAGTACTGATCAATTAAACATAAAATCCTCATAGTTTGTATCTTCATCTGGAATAGCATGAGGGCAGAACATCTGTTTTCCAAAATGTACTGATGGTCACAAGATGCTATTAAGCATATCATGATGTGGCGGTTTTTCAGGATCACATCCTTTGGAGAACTGGGCTTAGATGTTTCTCCATCAAATCAACCAAGGGTTTCCTTTTTTCAAGCTTTTAGCAGGTATTACAATTACTTACTTAGTAAACTTTCTTCCATTAGAATAGAAATGACCAGGGAACAGGCTTTTGTTTCCTGGCCCATTCTAATTTGGGAGGGGATAATGTCTAGTAGTGCTTGAGGTTCCTTGAACTCAATTCATTTGTGCATTATTACATCTCAGCAGTGAGGAGATAGGAAGAGAGACAGTTGGTGTGATGGAGAGAGCATGGCTGTTGGAGTCAGAAAGGTTTGGGTTTGAATGCTGGCTCACCTCATAGGAGCTCTGGAACCATAGGAAACCTCTTGGAGGCTTGGTGTCCTCATCTACCCTCCACAGGGTTTTGTGAGGCCTGAAGGAGATAAGGCATATGAGGTGTTTTGAACAGTGGGTGCTCAGTAAGCAGGAGGCATTGTGATGACACTCATGTTGTGTGTAAGGGTAGGTATTCCCAAGTTGTTCGTTTTCTTTACATTCTGTGAACATTGAGTAATAGTAGAAATGGAGCTTGGGGGGACTTCCTACAGCCCCCTAAGGAGAGGGGAGAATTGCCTCCATCTTGCCTGGATGGAAGATCAAAGGGCTGTTCAACAGGATGGCCTCGTAGGTCTGATCTCAGCTTCCAGGATTCCCTACCAAACAGTCTAGTCTCCAGGTGGGCTTTCTTAAATGGCTTTTCTCACAGAGCCTTCATTGAACAGGAGCTGGATGAGGCATAGATGTTTCCTCCTTTAGGAGAAAGAGGCATAGACGTGCCCCTCTCTGGGGGGCAGGGTACAGCTGTCACCCCAAATCAACACCCTGTGAACAAGTGTTGTTGGCAAGGTAATGGGTTGGTCACTTTGAAGGTCTTACTTAACCAACCAGCATAATTGGTGAGGAGTCCTGACTTAGCAGGAAGCCAGGGTAAAGCATTTTATGAGGTAAAGGACTCGCGTGAGGTGGCTAAATAACAAATGGAAAAATGGGTAAATAGGGTAAAAGGGGGTAATGGTGCATGTGGTCACCACACCCATGGCTGACAGAATATAAAGCCCTGGAAAGGACCAGGGTTTACACCAGAGAGAGGAATCAGCCTTTGAAACTGACCTTCAGAGCTCCACTCCCTCCAGCACCATGCTTTACAACTGCTCCCTGCCCAACATGAGCTGCCGCTCCACCTGCTCCTCCCGGCCCTGCGTGCCCCCCAGCTGTCACACCTGCACCCTGCCCGGGGCCTGCAACATCCCCGCCAACGTGGGCAACTGTGGCTGGTTCTGCGAGGGCTCCTTCAATGGCAGCGAGAAGGAGACCATGCAGTTCCTGAACGACCGCCTGGCCAGCTATCTGGAGAAGGTGCGCCAGCTGGAGCGGGAGAACGCAGAGCTGGAGAGCCGCATCCGGGAGTGGTGCCAGCAGCAGGTGCCCTTCGTGTGTCCCAGCTACCAGTCCTACTTCCGGACCATCGAGGAGCTCCAGCAGAAGGTGAGGGGGTGGCCACCACGCTGCCAATTTAGTTAACTATTTATTTAAATTTAACATACCAACTTCTGAAATGGATCTAAGACCATTCAAAGCTACGGTAATAAAGACATTGACTTCATTGGCTTAGGTAGGACACATCAAATCATCTTAGAAAATCTATTTGGGAAGCCCCACAGGGAAGGATATGGACTGGGATAGGGTAAGACATTAGACTACGATCAGTCATTGCAATCTTACATTGCTTCTTACTAAAACCAGAGTATCTGATTTTTTAGTTCTATTATGATATCCTGGTCTTGTTTTTAGGCTTACAGCTTAAAAAAATAGGCACCTGAAATATTTCTTGGAGCTAGTAATTTCCTAAGTGGATCCTCAAATACTTAAAGCCTTCCAAAGCTGTAGCAAGAGACAGTGTCTGTAGCAAAGCAAAAGAGCTGTTGACCATATAAACCTCACTAATATACACAGACCCTGTACCATCCACTAGAGCAAGCATGCAGGTGAGAATTCAGGACCAGAAACGCAGGGGTAGAAGTGGAGATAAGAGTCAGCATAGGGGCGCCTGGGTGGCTCAGTCATTAAGCGTCTGCCTTCGGCTCAGGTCATGATCCCAGGGTCCTGGGATCGAGCCCCACGTCAGGCTCCCTGCTCTGCGGGAAGCCTGCTTCTCCTTCTCCCACTCCCCCTGCTTGTGTTCCCTCTCTTGCTGTGTCTCTCTCTGTCAAATAAATAAATAAAATCTTTAAAAAAAGTCAGCATAGAGGTGGGACTAATACATGGTGGAGGTCAGGGAGGGCTTCCCAGAAGAGGAATATCTGAGTAGGGTTAGATGGATGAGCAGGAATTTATATTCAATGGCATAAGCCTTCGATTCTCTGAGGAGATTAACTGTCCATTGCTCAGTAGTGCTAGCAAAGTGAATGCCAGATAAGGGCCATGCAATTTGAAGATCATGCATTCATTTGCCCATATTTACTGAATACAAGGCACAGTGCTTGAGTGAGGGATAAAGTACAGAGTGAAACAGTCTCTTTCCTTCAGGAGCTCATAGTCTAATAGGGGAGACAGACATGGTTGGAGTGAAGGGGAGAAGCATAACTGGCTAAGTGCAAAGTATTGTTGGGGGTGCATGGAGGAGGTGACCCCCTGTAGGAGCCGGGCTGGAGGGGGAATGTGGGTCATGCAAGGGGTCTTGCTAGTGGATGAGGACATCCTGGAGCATTCCAGATAGAAGGAGAAGCTCTGTGCAAAAGCATGGGCAAGGGCAATATGACAGAGAGTGGAAAGAGGTCAGCAGGACTAGAATAAGGGGATGTGAGAGTAGGAAAACCAGCCTGTTCTGGTTTGGCTGGGATTTTTCTGGGTTTAGCATCCCAGGAGCCTCCTATTTCTAAGCAAACTGAGACACAGGTCACTCTAAGGGAGGCTTAATATCCAGTATGCTCAATTCCTGCAGGAAGCCAGAGGCAGACCAAGGAGAGAAGAATTAATGACAAAGGGACACATTTCTCCTTAACTGTTTTAGTTTTGAAATGAACAGTGCTATTAATTAATCCTTCTTTTATCCCCAAACTGAAAATCTGAGAAGACTCAAAGGTATTTGGCAGGAATGTGTATTTGAAAAAAAAAAAAAAAAGCTTTTCACTGTAAGGCACAAGACATTCCTTCTTAGTATAACTCATTTCATAATGAATCCTGTCTCCAGATCCTGTGCGGCAAGTCTGAGAACGCTAGGCTGGTGGTACAGATTGATAATGCCAAACTGGCTGCAGATGACTTCAGAACCAAGTAAGATTTTTCTAATGATCAGCGCAATCTTATAATTGACAGGCTAAATCGCAATGTGATGAAATCTGTCCTGGGTGCGTTTAAGCAGAAGTTGTCTGGGATGGCATTGGGAGGATTCTTGCATTGGGTTAGTTAGGTTAAATGTCAGTTTCCTCACTGAATGCAAGAATGCTGTGTTTTAAGCTTATTTTTAAGGAATGAAAGAAATCACCCATTCTTTCTCTTTTTCAACTTAATACGTGGACCAAGTTTAAAAGTGAATTTCACACTTGTTTCTTAGTATAGGTTCATCACTATCAGCCCATCAGAAAAAAAGTTATTAAATCAAAAAAATAGGAGGCAAAATCCATTTCAGAATATCATTTTTTTCTAGGTGTGATCATTACAATCATAAGAATCCTTTGCATTTGAATTTTTGTGGGACTTTATAGTTTACAATGTATTTGTAATTACTATGTCATTTCTTCATCTTCAGACCAACCCTGTAAAGTGTTAGTTTGGTTTCCATTTTATAGATGAAGAAATCAAGGCTCAGAGACATGAAGGAATTTATCCACAGTCATAACTGCAAGTCTGAACCTAACTGATTTCTAAATCAGTGTTTTTATCACAAGACCAGGTTGCTTTCAAGGTGGTTGGAGAGATGTCGAGACAATGTGTATAACAGACTTATGAAGTTCACCAACTCACTTGAAGAGGCAAGATAGGGCTTAATCCATAGCAACCTGTCAGAGCAAATGCAGTTAATATCAGATTAAAACTGTGGAGATAGGCCCCCCAACAATACCTTCTCTGTGGATCTCAGGGAAGAAATAGGTCTTTTTACTCAGCACAGTGGTATTTTCTCCCCTTCCAAAAAGGGAACTTTTAAAAAAATTCAAAAACTTTCAAAATGTAATGAATTTGACTAGGTCGGCCAAGTAAATCCTTGGAAAAAGTCTTCTTTTTTGACTCCCTTTGACATTCCCCTGTGTGTGCAGGTACGAGACGGAGCTGGGCTTGCGGCAGCTGGTGGAGTCAGACATCAGTGCCCTGCGCAGGATCCTGGACGAGCTGACCCTGTGCAAGTCTGACCTGGAGGCCCAGGTGGAATCCCTGAAAGAGGAGCTGCTGAGCCTCAAGCAGAACCATGAGCAGGTGAGGGAGTCCCAGTCCCCATCATCCCATATGGAGAGTTCCACACCTCTCCTGAGCAGCATAAGGTTGGTCTTTGCTAAGCACCCTAGAGCTAACACAACATTTTGCTGCTTGCTCAAAACACACTTGGGGGATTTTGGGGGAATGAGTCATAAGCTTACCTCTTTTACCGAAAAGAATGTGGTGAGCTGACTTATTTCTACCTGGGGCCAGATATATGGCCAGAAGTCCACACAAAGATCTTTAAAGTACTTCCCACTGCTTGACAAGATCTATTATCTTCTGAAGGTGCCAAATTAAGGACCAAGACTAAAAAGAGACAGCAAACTTCCTGATATTATATGTCACCTGATACTAGAACCCAATGGATGGATGGATGGATGGATGGAAAAATGAGAGAGATGAAGGAATTTAAATAATGGTTGACTCAGACTTCATGGTTGAATGTAATATAGGATGTCAGATGCCTGTATCAAAGATCAGATGTTTTGAAGAAAAGGAAACTACCCCAAGTAGACAGTATATAAGGGTAGAAGACTATGAAATAAATGGGAGGAGTTATACCTGGTTTCTCTACATTTAAGTAGCAGTAATTATAAACTAGATACCATGCCAGACTTATCACTGAACAAAGGGAAAATCAGAAAGAAATGATAGACTCTTGGATTGGAAAGAAACATTAGCAATCACTTATTCAAGCAGCCTCATCATGCAGATGAGGAGACACTCAGACAGGAGGCCTGAATCACACAGAGGCAACTTAGCCGGGTTCTACATCAACTGGGCTTCAACTCATATTTTCTAATTCCACTGCAATCTTCTCCCCACCATATTGGACTCACTCAAAGAGAGTTTATTTATAGACATTTTTTCCCCCCGTGGGTTCATTCGTCCCCCTTCCTCCCTCAGGAAGTCAACACCCTGCGCTGCCAGATTGGAGACCGCCTCAACGTGGAGGTGGACGCAGCCCCCACTGTGGAC